TCCCTCTATCGCCTGTTTGCTTAAAAGCATTCTGAAGGTAAAAACTTCTTCTTTCTCCCCTGATTTTGGTGCCTCAGGGACTGGCCACGGGGCCTGTGCATAGTGGGCGAATATTCGGTATAAAATCATTCCTTAAAAAACAACAACAACAACAAACACGTCTTGGGGCTCCTGGGAGGCTCAGTCGGTTAAGCGTCCAACTTCAACTCAGGTCATGATGACACGGTTCGTGGGTTCGAGTCTCGCGTCGGGCTCTGTGCTGACAGCTCAGAGCCTGGAGCCTGCTTCGGATTCTGTGTCTCCCTCTCTCTCTGCCCCTCCCCCACTCATGCTCTGTCTCTCTGTCTCTCTCTGTCTCTCTTTCTCTCAAGAATAATAATAAACATTAAAAATACAAAATTTAGGGGCGCCTGGGTGGCTTAGTTGGTTAAGAGTCCGACTTTCGCTCAGGTCATGATCTCGTGGTTCGTGGGTTCGGGCCCCGCGTCGGGCTCTGTGCTGACTGCCGGCTCAGAGCCTGGAGCCTGTTTCAGTCTGTGACTCCCTCTCTCTCTGACCCTCCCCTGCTCACGCTGTCTGTCTGTCTGCCTCTCTCTCTCTCTCTCTCTCCCCTAGGAAAAAATAAAAACATTTAAAAAAATAAAAATAAAAATACAAAATTTAAAAAAAGAAGTCCTATCTCCCCAGGAGTTGATTGTGTTATAAGCTCAATATTCCGGACTCCTCCGCAGTATGCGCTTCGTGGGCGCTGCTCGGAGAGGCTCGGGGACCCCAGCAGCTCCCTCCCAATCCCGGGTCTTAGCACTTGGCATGCCTGGCCCGTTGGCCTCTGGGAGTTTTCCCAGGCTTTATCCCCTCCACTGTCCTTCTCCTTGTGCCTGCGGTCCTCCAGAGCTCCGACAACCATCTCCCCCGGCCCCATGTCCCTGCGGGGCCACCATCTCCCATTGCTCAGCTCAGATTTCACAGGCCAACCCTACTAGCTCACTTTCCAGCCTCGGGTTCCTGAAAACCCCTCCTCGGCTCGCATCCGGAACCTGCCCACTCCCGTCCACTCCCGCCCTCCTCCACTCACCTGGGGAGGGAGGTCAGACAGCGGGATCTGCCGCGCTTCTACTCTGATCCCCACTGTTAGCACCCAGCGTGATGGCTTACATTTACTTTGCTCTTCAGCACGCTCTCCCCCCACCCCCACCAGGTTTCCGTGCTAAACAAGAACCACAATGAAGTTCGTTGTCCTAATCCCTTTAAGGCTGTCCGAGATCCCAACGGTTATTGAGGTCTCAGTAGTGACCAAAATAGAAGAAGGCGTCTGAGCACCTGTCCACTTTATAACTTCATCATCAAGATCAGAACATCATTTATTAATGTCTATGATGTGCCGGACACCCTGCCGAGTTCTTGGCACAGATCGACACCGATGCCCCTCCAAACCCCCCCTTCACACAGGCAGCATTAGCTCCATTTTACCTAGGAATAAGTCGAGGCACCCAAGAATCACTTCACTTCTCCCAAAGTCACCCGTGGTGCACGCTGCAGAGTTGGAACAGGAAGCCCGGTCTCTCCCACTTCAAAGTCTGCAATGCCTCAGCTCCCTTCAAGATTCTCCAGAAAGCTCCTTTCCACTAACCACTGACCTTCTGCCTGTTTGCTCCAGAGCCTTTACTCACTGAGAATTTCAGGGAAGTTTGTCAGTGAGCCTGCCACTCCCAGGATCTTTTGCACCCAGTCCGAGGGGGCGTCATCCCTGAAAGCTACCAGGCCACCCTGAAAGCTAACCTGTGGCCACACTGACCTCCTTGGTGGACCACGGTGACCAGTCTTCTCTGCCTGACTCCATCTCAGCCCTTTCCTGAACTGTTAGGTGACGGGCCTCTGGAACCCAGGACTGGGGGTGGGGCGGACGGAGAGTCTCATGGGAGGCTCCCATTATTATTCTTATTATCTAGACATAGTGCTGAGTATAAATCGTTATTTCCAGTGGATCCGAAGCTGAGCCCGGACTTCTAAATAGTGGCTTCTTCATTCTACTAGCATTTCTCCAACACGAAGGTCCCAGCAGTCGAAAGAGAAATGGTCAGAGACAGACACTGTTACTCCAGGACTAAAGGAGCAATCTACGTGGAATGCTTTCTTAGGGTTTCCGGTTTCCCTGCCCGTAAAACGGGATCGAAAGTGCCTTCCAACACGGGTGTGCCGGCGATCAGTAGATCGTATATTATGAGATGGCCTCTCTCCCCATTCACCTGTCTTCCCAGGGCCGGACACTGGATAAATGTAAGTCAGGAAGCATTAACAACCGACAGGCAAGCGGTAGCCACGTGTCTAGTAAATAACAGTCTTTGAGCATCACGTGGAGGGATACTTTCCGCAGAGAGGAAAGATCTAGCTTGGTCTCCTACGTTGTAAAAACGCTCGGTGGCTGTTTTCTGGACATAGGCTAGAGGTTTCACCCCAAGTCCGTAAAGGCGAACCATTTCGTTCATGAGACCCATTAGGAAGAAGGCCAGCCTGAGTCTGGGAGCGTCAAGGATTATAGAATATTTAAAAACGAAAACCTTTTTCGGTTCCTGGACACGCAGAGAAAATCTAATCCAGAAAAGGTCTGGCTGGTTTCGGATTCTGCCAGGCATATTTTAAGGCCAAGAGAGAAAGGTTTATAATTACAAGCACCATTTACATAAAACTATTGCTATATTTGAGATCGTTTGGGATGTTTGGAAACAGATCGTTCCCATGAAATTACAAACATTTCTGCTACGATCACAGTTTTGTGCTATTTACCATGGCACTCTGGAAGAAACAGACGTGAGCAAAGGTAGACTAACGTCTGTATCTGGGAACCATCCTGAAGCACCTTGTGCTGGGCTCAAGGTCACGACCTCTCTTCTTTGACCTTCCCTCAACTAACATGATCATTGCTAAGGTGCTCTCCCATCACTTCACCAGATCTTTCTGGATTGTTTTTTAGTTTCTAGCGATGTTCCCATTTCCCTGTTCCTTCCTATCCTCATATCGTCATTTTCTCGGAAATAATTTCAATTACCATCCCCCTTCTTTAAAAACTCATGATTATGGAGAACAGCTCAACAGAGGGAGAAATCATTCGTGGAATAAGAAACACGATGGGGCGCCTGGGTGGCTTAGTCGGTTAAGCGTCCGACTTTCGCTTAGGTCATGATCTCGCGGTTCGTGGGTTCGGGCCCCGCGTCAGGCTCTGTGCTGACTGCCAGCTTGGAGCCTGTTTCAGTCTGTGACTCCCTCTCTCTCTGACCCTCCCCTGCTCACGCTGTCTCTCTGTCTCTCTTAGAAATAAATAAAACATTAAAAAAAAAAAAAAAAGAAACACGAAACACTAGTGTTATCTGTTGGGGGAGAGGGGGGGAAGCTAATAAGTGCTCAGGCCCACAATTTTTGAGCAATCACAGTTGTAAAAACATGTCCCGACCTTTTTCCCCTCAATTTGCTTTAGTCTTTTTTTTTTTCCCTCCCTAAGAAGGGATTGCAGTCTTGCAAAAATGTAAGTTTATCTATTTACTCCTTTTTTTTTCAGTTCTATAACTACAAATGAGAGCCAGAAGGTTGTTAAGTGGAAAGCTTATTTTTTTTCCCACAGTCCTAGATCTTATTAATATAATGGGTAAAATGATTTAGCTCAGATTCTGATTCCCCCAAACTAAAACAAGCCATTATCATTGAGGTGTAATCAGAGAAGTGATGGAAATTTTAAAGGCAGACAGAAGCCGTAATGTTCTTAAATGGAGGGTAGAGACATTAACTTATATGGTCTTAATTCTCATGCTTGGTATTACCCAAGCTTCTTAATTATACTGGTAATTTAAAAAATACTTGCTGTATGAGAATGCTTAAGTGGTTTGGGTCTCAGGACTACAGTGAAAATCTCTGAGGTTGGGCTAAACGGATTCTTATTTACCAAATGTGGGCAAATTTCATTCACATGACTGTTTGGGGGCAGTGACGGTCGTGAGATTTTTCAGTCTGAGTCTGTTCTTCACTACCACATGCCTCCTTTCTGGGTGGTCCAGGTGGCCGGCCACTCTCGGTATCCCTTCTCACGCCTTGTCCCAACACTGAGATGTTACCCCCATAGGTTGCCTCCACCAAAGGGCATATGACCTACTCCAAACAAGAATGATTTGGACAGTCCACGTAAGAACTGATAAATGATCAAATTGCCGTTTATCTTTTGAAATCCTTTTCACAGGCAGGTGGAGAAAGGCTTGGACCACGAGGCCAGTGAGCTGCTATGTCATCAGGCCTCTCTTTGAAGAGACCCCCGCCCCCAAGAAGTACGTTCTGCTGCTCAATCGTATTTCTTACATCGTTTCCTCTTTATCACCAGTGAAAGTAGAAGGAGTTACGATAACCTGTAGATTCCACTTTTCTTTTTTTTTTTTTTTAACGTTATTTATTTATTTTGAGAGAGAGAGAGAACAGGGGAGGGACAGAGAGAGAGAGTGAGAGAGAGATTCCCAAGCAGGCTTGGCACTATCAGTGCACAGCCCAATGTGGGGCTCGAAGCCACGAACCGTGAGATCATGAGCTGAGCTGAGATCAAGAGCCAGGTGCTTAACCGACTGAGCCACCCGGGCGCCTCTACTCCACTCTTCTGTGTGGATAAAGAACACTGCTGCTCAGAAATTTCACAGCCAGGGATGAAACGCCCCTCTCTCACCTGTGTTTAGCAACAATTTTATCGTGAGAAACTTCCAGCCTTCCCTATTGACTTTGAGCAAACTGCAAGGAGACAAGCTGCCTGGGTATGCACTTGGCCGATGAGGCAGCTCTACTGACAAAGGTTCAAAGCATGCTGGGAACCCCTAAGGGCACGAAAGCATGATTCTCCCACAAGCCCCATGGGCCAGCCATCTAACTCAGGCTTGGGCTCTGGTCATAGTTCTCCGTCCCCTGACAAAGGAATAGGGCTTCTCTCCCGTCTCTGGGAAGTAATGCCACCTTCCCGGAGATCTCGGTCTTACCTTTGAGCTACACTTGTACGATGGGTGACTGATAGAATCGACATAGTGGTGCCTCATGCAGCGCAGAGGGTCCGAGTCGATCATGAACGAGCTGTCTGTTTTGCAGTCTGTATCTCCCATCAGCGCCAGCAGGGAGAACATAGAAAAGGATGCAGCGAGTACATGATTTCTCATTGTTGGAAGGAAAGCTTCTCAGAAGGAACAGCAGAGGGAGGCAGAGGACTAAAAATTGGAAACGCCTTCGCCTCCTAGGATCCAGTTCCTTCCCAGCAAAGGGCAGGATCTGGCCAAAGCTTTCTGGCGGTCATGGTCCTTTGTATGCCGGAGTTTGGTCTTACTCTTTCCCCTTGCAGTCCATCATCGCCGTATCTGCTGCGCAGCTGGAATGAAAACAGAGATGGTTTTCCCCAGACACGTTTACCCGGAAAAACGGATGGAGCCCAGGAGGTACTGAGTACAATTTTTCCATGTCATTCTGAGTGAAGAATATCGGTTCCCAGAGTGCCGCTGGCACAGGCTGCCATTCATTCTCCCCGCTCCCTGCCCATAGCTCAGGCTACGTGTTCAGAACCATTTGGAGGTGGACACAATGGTTTCGTGAAAGCACGTGGTGGCTTCAATCGCCCGAGTCCCACTTTTCTAGGGGCAAGAATAGCTTGAAGTCGTGGTGAACATTAGACATGTGGTTCTGGCCGTGGCATCGCTGAATTGGGTGCTCTCAGCCCCATCGCTGGCTGGTGGGGGTGGTGGGAGGGTCTATTCAGCTTCTCAGCGAGCTTTGGTCTACGCGTCAGCTCACAGGGCTACAGAGGAGGCAGGTCAGCCCTAATGAGCCCAGGCCTCACCCCCCCCCCCCGCACCCCCCCCAACCGCCGGGAAAGATGGTGGGAGGGTCTATTCAGCTTCTCAGCGAGCTTTGNGGGAGGGTCTATTCAGCTTCTCAGCGAGCTTTGGTCTACGCGTCAGCTCACAGGGCTACAGAGGAGGCAGGTCAGCCCTAATGAGCCCAGGCCTCCCCCCCCCCCCCCGCACCCCCCCCAACCGCCGGGAAAGATGCTCCGTTTTCCTTTCAGAGTCCCTACCCACCCACCCACCTCGTTTTCCACTTCTGCGCCCTGGGCTCATTCTGTTTTGGTTTGAAGCCCCGTGCCACCCAACAGCGATGACAACGGTGAATCTGAACCGCACGTCTTGCGAACTGGCTTCCAGTGTGGTTAAAGCAGCACACGCGTGTCTGCCAAAGAGTCTCACGGTTCTGCAGGGGCCTCTGTTGCCTGAGTGCGTGGTATCATTTGACCACGTAAGTGGTCGTTGGAGCAAAGACTTACCATTACAATGGGATCGGGGTGGATCGGTTGTCTGGACGTTGGTCTTGTTGCTTTAACTCTGTACTTCTTGGACAAGGGACTCAGGTCCTGAGATCGCCCTATAGCACCTCACTCGCCCTCCTCCGCGTGGCCAACATGGGTGCTTTCAATCACACCCGATTACAGAGGATCAAAACTATTTTCAGACTTTTAGGAAAACCGGGGGGGTGGGGGTGGGGGGCTGTCATGACCTCCCAAACAAAAGGAACATGACAATTAAAGCTTCAGAGACACTCTTAAAGGGTATTTCAGATCAGAGTCTGATTATTTTGTTCAAGAGTACAACCTTTTTTTTCTTCAACATCCTGCTCATGGCCAGTCCAAACAAACAGGGCCAAGGAACAATTAAGATCGAGAGTAGAAGTTCCAGTCCCTATAAGTCAATTAGTTTTGCTCCAAAAGAAAGGCCCCAGACCCACGTAGCCTCAGTTGGCCATCTTTTGAGTGTGGGGTGGAAGATCCCAGGCTGAAAAGGGTGTGTGACGAAAGGGCCGTTTCTGAGAACAGCATCCCTGAAAATGCCGTCATCTCATTGCAAATGTTTCTGGGAAATCCTATAGATTGCAGGAAGGGCGGGGACCAATAATGAGGAACCCCCCCCCCCCCCCCCCCCCGGGCTAGAGCACTGCCATTGGTTAGCTGGGAGACCTTGCACAGAGCATTTCAACTGGTCTGGCCCCAGGGTCCCCTTCTATAGAGTAGAAGAGTTGGAAAAGATGGCGTATGGTCCCCTCTTGCTCTCAAACGGCCCTGCCCGATACTCCTGGATTCAGTCGCCACCATCTCCATAGGCAGAAGAGAGTCATAATGTTAAGACCGTATCTTCATACAACTTTGCACCACGTTCTTTGATGAGTATGCTAAGAGCAACATCTCATTAAAATTGACCAAACCTGGGGCGCCTGGGTGGCTCAGTCAGTTAAGCGTCCACCTCTTGGTTTTGGCTCAGACCATGGTCTCTCGGTTTTGTGAGTTGAAGCCCTGTGCTAGCAGCATGGCGCTTCCTTGGGATTCTCTGTCTCCCTCTCTCTCTGCCCCTCCCCACTAGCGCTGTCTCTGTCTCTCTCAAAATAAATAAATAAACTTAAATTTTTTAAAATTTTCTTTTCAGCTGCCCATCACACCGAAACTCACCAAGATTTCACCTCAAAGAGCCAGAGCTTTCCTCAGTTTCAATCTGACTATATCATCCCAAGTGGATATCTGTCTCTTTGAAGCCTTAATTAGACTCAGGAAAGGAATTTATAGATTTCTCCTTTTACCACTCCAGCCTACAGATATTTGCCCCAGGAGTCAATGGCAAAGGGATGAAGGGAAAGGCAGACATTTCAGACCTGGCCCTCCCTCCCCACTTCCAGCAACTTCTCTTCAGAGCCACGGCCGGAGGTATGGTAGAGTGAATGAAGCACATGAAAGAAAAACCCACAGTGTGTTGGTAAAAAACAAACAACATCCAATAGCAAGACACTCTGTATGTGAATGTCAAGACCCAGCTAGTCCATTTCTGAGAATTATCCCCTGTGAGATCACACAAGCATAAGGCTGTTCACTCCAGCATTGGTTGTTGTTATGGCATAAGGTTGGAAACTGCACAAAATACCCATCCCCAGGGCACTGGCTAAACATATTATACGACAGTCATACGGTGGAATACTATGCAACTGTATAAAGAAGGATGCGGAAACTCTACTAACTTGTGTGTGATAAGAATATACATTTGTGTTCATTTGTATTTGCACAGAGTAGCTCTGGAAGGGTAGTCAAGAAGCTATACAATGAGTTATTTGCAGCAGTGGGAGTACAGATATGGGAGAAAGACTTTTCACTGTATATATACGTATATTTTATTTGTACATTTTTGATCTTGCAAATGGATTACCCATCTAAAATTCCATTCCAAAAAAATTACACTTTGTCTTTTCAAAACTTGGCTTAAAAATAGTAATTAAGTGGGGCGCCTGGGTGGCTCAGTCGGTTGAGTGCCTGGCTTCGGCTCAGGTCATGATCTCGCAGTTCTTGGGTTTGGGCCCCGCATCGGGCTCTGTGCTGACATCCAGCTCAGAACCTGGAGCCTGTCTTCAGATTCTGTGTCTCCCTCTCTCTCTGACCCTCCCCTACTCTCACTATCTCCCTCTCTCTCAAAAATAAATAAAACATTTTAAAAAATTAAATAGTAATTAAGTTAATGGCTATGTCTTGTTTGTGTCAGTTTGAGTAATTTAGTAGTATTATATTTTTATTTCTTATAAATATTGGAAAACATGTTAGTCTCTTTTTAAAAAAAAAATTTTTTTTTTCATTTTAGAGAGAGAAAGAGAGCACCAGTGGGGGAGAGGGGCAGAAGGAAAGAGAGAATCTCAAGTAGGCTCAGCATGAAACCTGATGCAGGCCTCCTGACCTGAGCCAAAATCAAGAGTGGGACGCTTAACCAACTGAGCCACCTAGGAGCCAGCTAGTCTCTTTTCTTAGTCAGATACCGGTCCTGGTGGATCCCTTGGTTCTTAAGCACTACTGCCACCTGGTAGCAACATCCTGAATTGCAAGCACAGTTGAATTTTTTTTTTTTTTTTTGCCCTAGAAGGTAAAGGTACTTTGTGCAAAAGTATTTTGCAAGTGAATACTGTGAAGTGTTTAATGACAAAGAGATAGTTAACGTCACACAAAATGTAACCTTATTATCTGATTTTCTCGTTAAAGATAAGCTGAACCCCAAAGTAGTAATAAAGATAAAGTATAAAAGAATAACAGGGAAAATGTTGCTTGCATTCCTGCTGATAAGAAATACATGTTTCATCTCCACACACTCAGAAAGCATGGTGCTTTTGGTTCCGTTTTCACATGAAACCCCGAAATATGAATGTCAGCAGCAACATCCATAAGCCATGGAACTCACAGAGCTCTCAAAACATAAAGGTCAGATTCTCGCAACTTAACATTGAGATTTTTGCCTGTAGCGCTTAAATCGAAGGAACCCACACCACTGTGTTGAGGAAGAAATAAACCTAATGCTCCAACAAAGAGGGCTGTTAAATCAAGTTGTCCTAACGCAGTGTTGTGGCGTGTGCGTGGGTGAGAAGTGCACGGTGCTGGGGGAAGTATTCACGAAGAGGAATGTGAACATGAAGGAAATTCACCACATTTGAGATCCCTGATTTATGGCAGTCTGGCAGCACCCGATGTCTGTCTTGGAGGAGATTGTCACTTCTCTCAAAGTTAAACTAATTCCAATGTGCTTTCTTTCTTTCTTTCTTTTTTTTAAAACCACGTAACATAAGAAATCAAACGCTGCCCATCGAGACTTAAGAACCTCGGTCCGGCCAGTGATGGATCGAATGAGAAAGCGACTCTCTTGCTGAACTCAGTAGCTCCGGGGCCGCCCCGTGCCCTGGGTACAGTCTCTGAGACATGGATTTGGCGGACGTACAGAGTCCACATTCTCCTCCCTCTAACGTGGAGCCTCTACAGGCAGGAGAGGCACGTAGGCCGGCGTGCCCGACTTTGGAGCTACCCTCCAAACGATACCAGTGGAAAAGAACAACTGGTGCCCAGATTTCCCCACCTGTCATCCTCGGGGAAATAATATAGCAGAGCTTACAGCCTCCTGGGTGAGAGATGGTGTTGTGTCCACAGATCAGCTCACTCTTGGGCTGACCTTCTGCCTGGCAGAGGCCAAAGTGTTGGTTTCACGCAAGTTATTCCGGCAACAGGCTAAGACAAGCCGCGTGTGCCAAGAATGGCCTTATTCTTGCCCCGCGTGCCAGGCGAGGGAAGGCAGTGCTCTGGTATCCATATTCCCGCCCTGGTTGTTTCCAGTATTAATGCATGCAAGTAATGCCTCCTGTGGCTTCTTTCTTTTTTTTTTTCTTTTCTTTTTTAATTTTTTAAAATATTTTTTATTGATTTTCGAGAGAGAGAAAGAGACAGAGCACAAGAGGGAGAGGGGCAGAGAGAGAGGGAGATGCAGAATCCGAAGCAGGCTCCGGGCTCCGAGCTGTCAGCACAGAGCCCGGCGC